CCCCAGAGCTGCTGCCACCTGTAGGTGAGGGGTCAGGGTGCAACTTAGGGGCTCCGGTAGCCAGATAGTGGCAAAGTGGTCTGGAAAAGGGCTGGCCAAAGCCTGGCCTGTTGCGGGGAGCCCACCCAAGGCCACTGGGCCCCCATCCACCCACTCCCCCTTCACAGAATGCCCTGTGGGGAAAGGGCAGAGCCCAACCTTCCTGTGTGCAGGTCCGGACCCAGGTCCCAGGCAAGGCCTGGCCAGGGCCCCGTGGCTTCAGCAGAGGAGGGGTTAGCCTGGCAGGCAGTGCTGCCCCAAAGACTCCATTCACAAGGCAGTACCCCGGCTCAGCCAGCACCTCCTGGTCTCTGAGGACTGAGCACTGTGACTGGACTCCTTTGAGAAGGCACACAGACGCTGCCTGAGTCCATCACTGGCAGCCCTTCAGCAGGCACAGCTGCCCCCTAGCCTGGCTCCTTCCACCCGGGCCCACCAGCTGTGCCCGCCTCCCCAGCCAGATGTGCCGGTTCCCTGAAGCTGCAGATGCCCCTCCCATCTGGCTGTGCCAGCTGCAGCCACACACCCCACCCCAAGCCCAGGCCAGCCAGGCTGAGATGCAGGAGGGGGGTGGTCAGGTACTCCTGATGCCAAGGGTTTCATGCCCTTCAACTCCCGCCCCCAAGTCAGGCTGGGAGAAAGTCAGGTGCCAGGGATACCTGCCCAGGTGCTCACCCAGGTCGCAGCTTCTGCGCCTGAAGGATAACCTGCCTCATGGCCGGGAAGCCACTGGCTCCCTCACCTGCCCCAGCACCTCCCAGGATGAAACCTGGGCTCGTCTCCACCCCCACCCCCAGCCCCACCCCCAGGACGATCCTTCCAGGGCAGGCAGCAGTGGGTGGGCCCAGTCTGAGCAAGGGGCACAGGCTCGTGACTTCCAGGCTCCTCCTTCGGGGGAGGAGGGGTATCTATTCCAATCTCCTCTGAGCTTATGCCCCCCTCCTTCCCGGGGAAACAGGCCCAGAGAGGGCGGGGGACCAGCCCAAGGTCACACAGTAGTTTGGACTGGAGCCGCGGGAGACCCTCCGACACAACCCGCGGGGCCGGGGCACCCTGAATCCCTAGGCGGGGCGGTTCCGATGCCCACGTGTCCCAAGGCCCAGGCGGGA